CTTCTAATCGATCTGTCAGCTCCACATAACTCCCTGTTTTCAAGTATAAACACCTTGATTCCTCTTGACGAATTCCCTCTCAATAGAAGGACATTGATCATGTAATCAATATGATAAAATCACGGGTCTTAGCACTTGGCTGGCAAAAGTCGACATCACCTCAGCTTTCAAAGCTATGCCTATCCATCCAGATTCACGGCACTTATTTGGGGTACGTTGGCACAGGAAATACTATTTTGTCATGCGCTTAACTTTCAGATGCAAAGCAGCACCAAGATTTTCTGACAAGTTATCAGAAGCAGCTTATTGGATTCATCAAACAATTACGCAAAGAAATCCTCATAACATCTACCCTTTTAGACAACTCAAATTGTTCTGAGCATTGAATTCCCTTACAGATGCTGCAAGAGCGCTTAAGTTAAGTGAATATGTGTTCTTTCATCTACTGGCGAGACTTACCTGTCCGATGCCGTGAGTATTGATCTCCCGTCGGATGCCGGCAAGAGCCTCTCAGCCAGACAACCTTACCTTTTCCATCCTACGGTCGGCGAGGCTTACCCATATGATTCCGTGAGTCTTGATCTCCCGTCGGATGCCGGCGAGAGCCTCCCAGCCACACAACCTTACCTTTTCCATTCTATGGTCGGCGAGGCTTACCCGTCCGATGCCGTGAGTATTGAGCTCCCGGCGGATCCCGGTGAGAGCCTCCTGGCCACACAGCTTTACCTTTCCGTCTTACGTTCGGCGAGGCTTACCCGTCCGATGCCGTGCGTATTGAGCTCCCGTCGGATGTCGGCGAGAGCCTCCCGTCCAGACATTCTTACCTTTTCCATTTTCTACGGTCGGCGAGGCTTACCCGTCCGATGCTGTGAGTATTGAGCTCCTGTCGGATGTCGGCAAGAGCCTCCCGGCCAGACAACCTTATCTTTTTTCATTCTACGGTCGGCGAGGCTTACCCGTCCGATGCTGTGAGTATTGAGCTCCCATCGGATGCTGGCGAGAGTCTCCCAGCTACACACATTTACCTTTCCGTTCGACGGTTGGCTAGGCTTAGCCGTCCGACGCCATGAGTCTCGACCTCCCGCCGAACGCTGTCCGAGCCCTCTCAGCTAACCTCACGTCTTTTCCCCCCGCCTGGCGAGGCTTACCCGTTTGATGTCCTGAGTCTTGATCCCCCATCGGATGCTGTGAGAGCCCTCCCAGTCGGGTTTTCCTTTTTTCTCTCCCCGCCTGGCGAGACTTACCCATCTGATGCAGTGAGTCTTGATCTCCCATCAGATGTCGGCGAGAGTACTCCCGGTTGGACTTCTATAATTGCCGCCCGCAAGCGAGACTTATCCATCTGACGCCGTGAGTCTTGATCTCCCATCGGATGTCGTGAGAGTCCTCCTTGCTCCAGTCTCCAGTCGGAAGCTTCATGGGCCCTCTCGGTCAGCCATTTGCCCTCTGCCCACTGATCAGCAGGGGCTTGTCAGCCAGTAGGGCCTGTACACCGACACCGTGAGATGTTCCAGTCGAGGCAACTCAGGCCCTCCTGGTAGGGCTATACAATCGCGCTGCTCCTCCCCCATCGGCCGGTAGGGCTCACCCGTTCCAACGCTGTGAGCTGCTCCCGTTGAGCATCGGCTCGAGCCCTCCCGACCGGGCGCCCTAAACCACGTAGTCCAATACCAGCAGCCGGTAGGGCCTAACCTTCCAACGCATAAGTCGCTCCCACCGGAGTACGTAGGCTCTTCCGGCCTGCCAACCAGGCTACTTCTCAAACATCAGCCCCGCCAGATCTCAGTGCTAATTTTTTTGGGGGGGGAGGGGGGGTCCTTAGTCTGGCGGCTGTCCTTTGCTCAATTGCTTTTTGGGGGGTACTCTAGGTTCGGCAGCTCGCCAAATATGCATTACCATACTTCAGCTAATTATATGTAAGCGTGAACTCGTGAAATGATGTTTTATTAACAAGGTTCGGGAGGAACGCATCAGATACTTAGCCTAATTAACAAGGTGGAGCGCACTCAAGTTAATCAACACCATGGTATAAATACAGCTGACTTACCTCAATCCATTGGCGGTTTATCAGCATCCCTAAACTCCTCACTTCGAGTTCATACTACACTTATACCACGGGGGGGTTGGGGGGTACTCTAGGTTCGGGCCATTCCAGAGCTTGGAGCCCTTCCCCGGACAGCACACCAAATATGCATTACCATACTTCAGCTAATTATATGTAAGCGTGATCTCGTGAATATACCATATAACTTTGGGATTCCTGTGTCATGAATCATTGTGGCAGCCATGACCGGGAGCACTGGCATTGAGGAGGCAAGACAGGCAGTTCTGGGCAGCCTCTTTACTGGCTGCAGTTAGCATCGAGGTGGATGAGAAAGGGAGCTTTGTCATCGGGGAGGA